AAATAAATGGAAATTTTATTAAAATTAAAACACTAAACCTGTTTTTTGATTTATGTGTAAAATCTAAAGTGATATATAAAAAAATTGAAAAAATTTGTTTATAGATAATTATTAAGAAATTAAAAGTAAGTTTTAAAAATAATCTTTGATTTATTAATTTTTGAACGCCTATGTTTTAGGGTAATGAATAATAATAATAATAATTGATGATGATGATGATGATGATTAACCTTTGTCAATGATCCTGATTACTATAAGCTGTGACTGAGTGGCTGGCAGAGAAAAGCAAAAGGCAGAGCCAAACCTGCGAAAGATTTATTTTTGTACCCAACGCAAAGTGACATGGACGAAGGAAACCCTAGCCATCACAAAATGATTGCTTTGTGCATGCGCAAGGATACAACAACATAGAATTATAATATAGATACAATCAAAGTCATGCGCAGATGTGTGCGTGTGTTGTACTTGAGAACTCTGAAAAATCATTTAAAAAGAAGAAGAAATCATCACACACAGCACTGTTTCCCCACCCTCTTATCATCATATTTCATCATCCTCAGCCAATATCATCAATTTTGTTGCTTCTCAGTTCTCATTCTGTATATCCTCTAACTATTAATTCATTTCATATGACTTGCTAGTACACTTGTACCTATATATATAAAACATGACTCCCTTTTCACTTTCCTTATTCCATTTTCAAGTTTGTTCTCTTTCTCTCCCCATTTCCTTCACTTGTTCAGAAGTTGGTGACTTATATATGTGAGGAATAATTGAGAATTGAATTCATGAACATGTAAAGTGTAATGTAATTTCCTGCTCTAGAAACAGAAAACTTGTCTGCTAGAAAACCTTGAATTGTTTGCAGACGCCATCATCTCTAACCTTAATTGGCATTGGATCTAGCTATATATTTTTCAAAGCAGATTATGTCTTCAATTAATTCATGTCTTGAGCTTCTAAAATTTCTATGACCAATCAAGGTCACGTTATTAATATCTGCAGACCCTACCAGACTTTGAATAATTATTTGTTAACTTGATATTGAATTTGTTGGGCAGAAAGGGTTTTTTTTTATTATTATTATTAAACTAAATGACATCAATATTCAAGGTGCATCAATGCTAGAGATTAAATTGGGTTGTGTATGGTTTTTCAATTTTTCCTTACTCTTTTCAATTTTTCCTTTCGTTGGATAACGTTCTTTGATAGGCAAACCTTTCCACTTTTAGAAAATATAACATCAGCTTCCTTTTCCAAAGATTAGTTGGCTTCAAGAACACGATACGACCTTAATTATATGGTGGTAAGCTAATTTCTCATTAACTTCAATGATCATCAATGATATTGATATTTTAATCGTCTTATATGTTGAAGTTTTCCTTGAATTAATGACCAATAGCATTAATCCAAGATTACATACGACACATGCAGGTGATGTCAAAATTAATTACTATAGCTTTGGAATTGTCTTTTTATACATCAATAGATTACCTTAATTGTTCAGCCACAGAGAAAGGGTTTGAATCAGTGTTCTGTACATCAATGATGGTACATTTATTCCACATAGTTTTCTGAGAGTAACTGAGAACGAAATAACAAGAGATAGATCATTAATTAGTAAAACATATGTAATTGATCCCTTAGCAATTATAGGGAGCCAAAAGGCTATGCACCAAATTAAAATTTTGGTTATAAGTTCTCCAACCCATTACTTACAGACTAGTATGATACGGTCACCCCCTCCTCACTCTGAAAAAATTAAAATGTGAAGACCCTTTTCTTTGAAACTAATCTTTATTATTTCTCTCTTTCTAACCAATAATTTGTGTAATTTCTTTTAGGTTTGATATAGTTATAGAAGGGTTGGGGTAATACGTCTACCCTTACAAATAACATTTTCTTTTGCTAACAAAAAATAAATAAATTTTGTAATTAAGGATTCACTCTGGAAGGCACCTGAATTCTATTTGAAAGACCTGCTAACGATGAATATATATATATATCACGTTCTTAAAAAATTATTAATTTTTATGATAATTGTTTTTAAAAAATTACATTTTTAATAATTTTAAATTGATTAACAATGTAAAAAAATTATACTATCAATATATTAAAATTAAAGTAGTGCTTTTATTACGAATAACTATTTTAGTAAAGCTTTAGACTTTGCATATAGTTTTCACATCTTATTTAATTTGGTTCACCATAATATATATCTTCCACAAAATTAAACTAGCGTCATTGCATTTTGATGACAAAATAGGTTATCTCATTATTTTTTTCAGTTAATTAAATATAATTTTATAAATTCTTTTTCATTTAAAATATTTCATCAACTTGAACTCATCTTTTGTTTTCTTTTCCTTTAGGGGCTTGTTAAATTGTTCTCTAAAGACAGTATTGATTAATTAAGCAAATAATAAATTTTTATTTTAAATCATGCTAGAAGTAGATTGAAAATTGTGTTATATTAATAATATTTTTAATTTCATAACCAATGTCTTTAAAAACTTTTTAGTATTTGTCTTTCTTTTCTTATTCCTTAATTATACTGTTTCCATATATGACACGGTTTTGAACCAATTGTACACCATTAAATTCCTAAAATTTAAAGAGTGTTATACATGAAACCCATTATAATTATTATATGCTTTTAAAAGAAATGAGCGATGCATATTTCATGATTTTGGTTATTAATTTTTCCAAATAAATTTTTTACTATGCTATTAATCTTGGTTTTGAAGAAGATTGATGTCTTAATGGGTTTTAAGGGAGTTGATTTTGTCTGCATCGTCGCTATTACTGATGGAAATCTGAAATATCCCACGGAAGAGTTACATGATATATATGTGTAAGTGAATAGTTATCAAAACTCTTTTGATGAATGACTATTCCAGTTTTCTTTTGGTGATCGAATAGTAAGTATAACCTCTGTGTTGATGCATCGGCATCACATTTTCCATTCTCTATGAACAGAAAAAAATAAAAACAAGCCAACAACATATCATTTATATATTACTGCTATGTTGAAGATAGTTTCAGTTCACATAATTATAAAGTAGACTGTGATCCCAGGTAAACTTTATTTGCAACGTACGTTTTTTTACCTAACGGTGAATTTGTTTCACTTTTATTTTATTGGAAGAAAAGTTTTCACAGGTACGCGCTTTTAATAAAGATTATTGTCGTTAAATGCTTAAATATTTATCTTTAGTTTTAAAATTAACAAAACTTATAAATTAATAAAAATCGTTTAACTTATTTTACCCTTAAGGTTGATTTGAATAGATTTTGATAAAATATATAATATTCAAATTTGGCTCTTGAAATATTTATTTGTTTTAATTTAAAAGTTGATTAGATAAAATAAATATTTAAATTTAAATAAGAAATATATAAGTGTTTACTATATATATTTTTCACTTGAGAAAAATAAAATCTATCTATTAAAGCTTTTGCTGGCTATTTATTGATAGGAATTAACCATTTAATGTGGTCTTAAATATTTGAGACTTTGAAGACGCCATCAAAGTGTTGATGAATCCCGAAAATGAGTGAGGGAGGGTGGAATATACTAAAGGGCAAGAGACATAAAAAATGGTAATAAAGGAGTAGCAGCCCTAAGATTTCAGTGCCCCAAAAATCAAATTGGAGAGAGAAAGGAAGCTACCTACTCTTCCGTAGGTGCAATTCTTTTCACCGCTAGCTTACTACTACGAGTCATACCATCGCTCATACCAGTTTACCCTAATCTAAACTTGATACGATAATTTGGTCGTGTCAATTTTCTGGAAAGGTCTTGTCATGTCTCAACTAATAATTGGCTGTTTGACTTAATATTTTCGTAAAATATATCATTACACATTAAATTTTTATAATTTTTTTATTTTTCTTTTCTCTAATTTTTTTATAGCTTTAGTTTTTATATTAATACAATCTAAATGATTTGATAATTCTTATGTTATTTTTGTGTTGAGTTGGGAATTTTATATTAAATTTCAGCAAAACTTAGTTTTAAGAAACAAATATTCAAACATGAATCACTTTACTTCACAACTAATTTTGGCCAAAATTAATTATACAAAATTCAATATAGTTCAAAATTAAATTTCCACCAAGCCCAAACTCAATCATAAAATGTGACTTAATCACAACCTGAAAATCAAATTGAATTCATAGAACCTAAATCCGTGCAAATTAACTGTGGGCTGGAGTATGTATATTCGGATGGAATGGGCAACACCGCTGCATTTAGAATAATTTTGAGAGTTAGAAGAGAAATACAATATTTTTTTAAATTCAAATAATTATATAATATTTGTAAAATTAAATAATTAATACATTAAAATTACACTAATCTATCATTTTAAATTTTATTTTAAAAATTAAAAAATATTTTTTTCCTATAGTCTTCTCTAAAATCTAACTATGAAATGCATAATTAAATTCCGTAATCTTTGATACAAGGATATACATGGTTGATATTTTGTAGAACCGCATTGAATCCCCTTTAATTTGCTTTACCACCTTTTCTTTTTATTCGTTCATGTACATGCTTTTTGCAGTCACTCCCCTTTCAGTAAAAACCCGTTTCAAATACTTGCCCTGGCCTCACTCTTTCTCTCTTCGGGCCCCCTCTAGGGTCTATAGCCACCTTTACAATCAAACATGTTGAGAGAACCATAAAAACTTGAAGATAATTAACCTTCTATCTACTCCTTCAATTCCTCTTCGCCACACCAATTCAACCACACAGCTGTCATCCTCTTACTATAGGAGATATATGTACTCTGATTATTTATTTATAAGTGTTGTTTCATTTCAAGTGATCAGAACCAAAAACCTGTTTATTGATTCTCGATGCTCTCTTTAATTTCCCTTTCTTTTTTAGACTTTTAGCCAATTAATCTCTAAAAGATCATCAAATTAAACTACAAAACACCACAGCTTGGTCGATCTAAAGCAACCCCATAAATTATTTTCACATTTGCTTGGTCATGGACACCAATCAAAACACTAGTGCATTCACAAATGTGAACAGCACTTGGAATCTCGAAAAGAAGGAAACAAATGAACAACAACATGACCATGTTATTCTTCAAATCCAAGACCACCAAATCCCTATGGGTTCTGGGATGTGGCCTAACAACTACCACCACAACCTCCTTCAAATTCATCAAACACCAACCTCATCATCATCCATCATAGCACCACCCCCATCCTCACCATCAGGGTTCCTCCGTGACATACTAGGTGTTCACAACATAGAAGAAGATGAAGAACCAGAAGAAGAGTTAGGAACCAACTACCACCACAACCTCCTTCAAATTCATCAAACACCAACCTCATCATCATCCATCATAGCACCACCCTCCTCCTCACCATCAGGGTTCCTCAGTGACATACTAGGTGTTCACAACATAGAAGAAGATGAAGAACCAGAAGAAGAGTTAGGAGCCATGAAGGAGATGATGTACAAGATCGCTGCTATGCAACCAGTGGACATCGACCCTGCCACCATCCGAAAACCAAAGAGGAGAAACGTTCGCATCAGTGACGACCCTCAAAGTGTTGCTGCACGGCACAGAAGAGAGAGAATCAGTGAGAAAATCCGCATCCTCCAAAGACTTGTCCCTGGAGGAACCAAAATGGACACAGCTTCAATGCTTGATGAAGCCATTCGCTATGTTAAGTTCTTGAAGAGACAAATCAGGTTGCTCCAATCCATTCCTCAAACTCAACACCCTTCACAACCACCGCAATGCATTGGTGGCGTTGCTAGTACTCATGCTAGCACCTTGTTGTTAGCCCCTTCTTGTGATTGGCCTTTTGCACCAAATGTGTTACTCAGTTCCACCGCCGTCACTGCCGCCTCTTCTTCCTCCATGGACATACCGGCCGGACTCGGTTTCGATGCCGGCGGGCATGGCCACAGTCATGCTTGTGATGGCTCCTCCAGCTTCAATCATCACGAGGTAATCAGTGAATAATAATTAGTGGTAATTGATTAATTAGGTTATAATTATAATATTGCTTATGTATGTATGTGTATGAACATGGAATTAATTCAGGAGTGGTTAGTATTAGTGTATGTGTATGTTGATGATCTGTTTGAGTTAGGGGAAAATTAAGGGAAAGAACGAAGAGGGAGGTAGAGTAATATTTGAAGGGAGGGTCATGTATGAAGGGGAAAGGTTTGTTAGGATATTGTTGACTAAAGGTTCTGTAGAATAATCATAACGGTTGGCTTGGTTACGTATAGTCACATATATATAATATATAGAATAGAATAATGTGTATGCCAGTTTGAGTGTTGGCCGGAAAGTTTGTTTGGCCGACTCTCTTCCGGGAATAAATTCAACTGTGACGTTAGAAGCAATTGAATAATGAACAATATCGATTTGTGGTCATATATCTTCTCTCTCTCTTTAGATTTCTTCTATTTCATTCTGTGCCCTCTCTTTTCTCTTTCTCTTTCTGTGTGTGCATAATTACACATATACATGCTTATTGGCATGTGTGCCCTTGGACACACGCACTAAGAGTGATTGCTACTTCAACAAGACAATATATAATGTGAGAAAACTCATTTCGTGACAGATTATTAGTAAGTTTAAAAGTTTTAGTTGAAGAGGATGTAGTGAAGAACTGGAATTATTTTGGATTTACATAAAGGAAACAATAACCCCCATACACATAGCTAGATATGTATAAGCGATTGTTTCCTTGTGCCTAGATTGATTTTTACATGTTCTTACTAACCATTGCTTCAAGGCTAAAGCATTTATTTTCTTTCTCTAAGTCATATTAAGTATTAAACAATACAGTCTTAAGTGTTTTTACATATTTAAATATTAAATTCAATTTTTATTTATTAGTTATATTCATAAATAATGTATTCATACACTTACTAGCAAATTTCAGTTTATATTAGTCCCCTCCCTTTTTGGTGGGAAAATCAAAACACGAACAAATATGGGTTATATATGGATTCAAATTAAACTTAACGGTTTTCATTTTCATAGATAAAGAAACCTTGTTCTTCTCTCAATGTTTTGTTTTTTTTTTTCACCTCAACGAGTCAGCTTTATCCGCTTTTACTGCATGTCTTCTTTCTTCGTGAATAAGAATAGAGGGACATCTAAATGCTGATATGTGCGATGGGGGGGAATACTTGTATTGCATGCACATGATCATGCCTAAATTTGCATGTGCTTCCTACTTAGTTATGAGATCACATTGACATTATAGCCAATTGTATGAATATATTTTAATGTGTAGTTTGATTAATGATTTATGTGGCATGTCATACATAACATATATTTTCGTCCATTATCTCAAAAAGGGACTGAGGGAGGTAGATTGATCATCCAACTATATATAGATTTATTAAAGTTAATCCATTCAATAAAATTATGTAACATTTTATATAATATGCTTTTTTTTCATCTTTCTTTATCACACGACTTATTTTATTTTTCTTGTTTATAGGAAAAATGTATAAAATTAATATATGAATAAAATTCTCAATTTATTATATTTCCATATATATTAATATTATATCCTCTTAATTCTTTCCTCATTTAATAAAGAAAAATTCTAAAAAATATTGTTAAATGATTTTAAATTATTCATATTCATACACTTCACTATGTCTCTCTTGATCACACACACATATTAACGATGAATATTACCATCAAATGTATTTGCATAGGCACTAGAAGAGAGTTTGTTTATATACATGGAAAAAAAATACAAAAGCATAGGCTGTTTTGTTATCTTCATTTGCTTGAGATTATAAACCACTGAAAAAGTTAACAGGGCCCATTATCAGATGATAATTAATAAAAAAAATGACCAAAATTTTCTAATGCAGTTTTTATTGTTAGTAACTTATTAAAACCCATTAAATTATGAGTTAAACTCATTAAATAAAAAATAAAATATGCATCATTTCATGAATTTTAATAAATTTAATTTGTTAATAATAATAATAATAATAATAAGACTCCATCCATTTAAATGAATAAAAAAATTATTAAGGTATATTTAATGAAATTTAATATTTCTTCATTTCAATTCTAACTCATTCAAATAATAAACATAATGGTTCTTAAATGTTATATGATTTATTTTTTCAAAAAATAAAGTAAATAAATGATAAGATGATTGATAAATTCTGAGTAAACAAATTAAAATAATTTAATTGATTTAATTATTAAAAAGTTTGAATAAAAAAACCAAAAGGTTTACATAGAAAAAATTTGATGAAAGTAACTAATTTGCTTAATTTGACAAAAAAAAAACTTAATTAATTTAAAAAAATAAAGAATTAAAATTATACACATTTTATATTAAAAGACACTAAAAGTATAACTAACATAATATTTATTACTATTAAATAAGAACATATCGTACCACCAAACACGTAAATCAATTCACGTAATTTTATTCTAATTTAATCTATGATTCATATACTTATATCCAAATTCATTTTTTGACCCTACATTTTACACTTAACTTGAATATAATTTTCTATTATGTATTTGTTTGACAAATTAATAAAACATAAATGCTATTATATTATTAATGTTAACAATGAATTAATAAAAAATATTAATTAAAAGTAAAATACATAACTTAAATAAAAAATATTTAAAGATAATATAATCCTAATTATAAAATATGAATTACAAAAAAAATTATTTGTTAGTTCGAACATATTTAAGAAATTAAATTTTAGTTATAAAATATAATTAATAAATGTATTATCTAACTGTACGCATGAATGGAGTTAAGCATGTCTTATTACTTTTAAGCAGTTTGGGTGCAATTTTGTTTTGTAACCTTAGCACATTTTGTACTCAAGGTTTTTTTTTTCTATTATAAATTTTTATTTGGTTATAAAAAAGGATTTTATTACTTAACTCTATTTTTAAGACTTCAGTTTAATTTGAAAACAATAAACTTTATTAAAAATATATAGTATTATATTAAATTATAAATAAATTATTATTACTCGAACTTAATTTTAAAATTTAAGGTTAATATATTTTTATAAAAAATTTGCATATAAATTTTATTGGTACCCGTTAGATCTGGATCCAATTATCATTACCGTTCCTAACTAAAATTTGCCTATTCAATTGAAAGAAAATTCTAATATTGTTCATTGTTTTAAAAAACAAAAAATTTGTTGTTTAGCCCATTCACCCTTATGGCCACCTACATAGTTCTCTTGCTTCACCCTTTTCATGCATGCCCAAACCACAATGCTAGTCTGAGTACGTAGTCTCTATCTCTTTTATATTTTTACAGCAAACGCTAACTTTACACTTTTTCTATCTCTTAACTACACATAATCAAATATTCAGCATTGAAAATAGAAAACCCTAGATGGTCTTCAAATTAGTTCTCTTGAATCAAATTTTGAATCATCCTTAATTTTTACTTTTACTATTTTGTAAGAAACAAACAAAATTTAAATTCATGTTTGCTTATGATATGAAAATATAATGTTGTTAGTTGCAAAAGGAGGTAGATGGTAAGGTTACGACCCTGAAATCGTAAAGAATTAGCGTAGAAGTAGGAACAGGTTGAGAATTATGATGGTCTTTTGCATCTATTGTTGGTGAGTTTGTGCGCACTAGGTAGGAGTGTGCAGTGAACGAAGCAATAAATAGGTGAGACCAGTGTTATTGAACTCGATATCTTCAATTCCGCTAAGATATAGAGTCATTCATTTAAATAAAAAGTTTCTGGTAGAGCTGATTGAATTATGAATATATTGAAGTATGCGATAAATTAAATAATCGAAACATCATAATTAACATATATATTGCTAATATGGAATAGGGTTGAAGGTATATATACGAGTTAATTATCATGTCACAGGTTCCAATTGGTTTACTGATTCACTGATCAAACTGGTCAGATTAAACCGAATGTTATAACTATGAATGAGAGAAATACATATATATTCAACGATGGTCAATTGGTCATATATATTGATATAACTCTCTATAGTATATACTCTGATTGCTTATATGATCTTCTATATGGAACCTATATGATTTGAACGCCATTTGGAAATATAAACCCAATTTTATATACAAAGTTAAAGTGATCTCAGTCTCAACTAAGCATAAAGATATATCAGAAGCATGAAGTTTACAATAATGCCATGGAATTTTTGTCTCTAGTACAATTCTCACGTATGCATTTGATCTCATACATGATGCGTGTAATTGCTTGTTTTATGGCCACTAAAATGGCATGATCTCATAGATTGAGATTTGAGAGTCACACGGCTACACAACAGACACGCAAAGCTGTATACATCACTCACGAAATTGTGATTTTTGCCCTCACCGTGGTGCATGTGCTTTCTACTATTTTAATAATATTTTAAAGGTATTGGTTAAAATTTAAAAATAATTGTTTATTAAAAATATAATAATGTAATTCTATTGTTTATTAATTTTGTAATTAATATGCTTAAAATAATAATTGATAAGATCTTTATTTTATTTGTAAATTTAAACAATATTCTCATTCGAGTACTCATATTTATGCAATAAATTTATATGATAAATTAATTACAAAGAAAAATAACAAAGATATTAAAATAAAAAAATTATAAAACAGAGACAAATACAAAAATGAAAAAAAAAATTGTATAAAACAACATCTATGTTTAACCCTATCAAATAGGTGAATGCACAAAATTTAATATTTTAAAAATAAAATTAAAAATTATATATATAATATATATATATATATATATATTATTTTATCAGAACAAATTGATAAATTTTTTAATTCACCATTTATTAATGGTTCTCTTACTGATCTTTAAGGCCACTCTCAATTAGTATAAATATATTATTATTTATTATATTTATATTTTTTATAAAATTAAAATAATATTAATTAATACTATTTTAATTTTTTATATGAATAAATAAAAATATTTTCTGTAAAAAAATAAATAAAAATAGACGTAAAGAGCAAAAAAAAAAAAGAGAAACAATGAACGACGCAAAAAAGAGGAGTAAGCCGAAAGGGAAGCTCTGAGGTCTCTTTTAGCATTTGTTTTTCTCTTTCTCCTCATCTTTGAATAGCATCTGCACTCCATTTTTCAAACACGTTTACGGCGTATTTAATTTTGTTTAAATCCATATAAATTCTTACGTTTATCTTGCGTGTTTGTTCAACAAGAGGAAACAAAGTTCTTGAACAGATAATCAGTACTCATTTTCAGGCCCAATGGCCCAAAAGTGGAACCTTCTCCTTCTCATTAAAAATAAATTTTACTAGATAAAAAGGTTAAAGGGAATAAAAAATTAGAGCTAAAAGTTCGAAATATTATCCTTAAATTTTCACTCCAAAAGTTCAAGCCATATTATTATTTCATATATTCAATACATGAAGTTTAATTTGCTATATTTTTTGATTTTTTATTTGGAATGTAACTCTTATCACGAAACTTGAATGTGGTGAGTTAGTTTATAATTAGAGATCTTTTGTATATACAAAAATTTAAACTCAAAATCTTACTCAAGCGATACTTAACTGTTTATCACTCAAAACAACCTCTGTTAGTTTAATTTGTTACATTTTATTAGAAGACGGTTAAATTTGTTACATTTTACATAAACTCATATAACTTTTCTTATATATTTATGTTGTACACTAGATTTTGTTTATAAAAAATGTAAACAGAATTCTAAGCTGTTTTAAGTTTAAAATAAGATAATTTAAACATGATATAAATTGATGCTAGATGTTTGTCTCATTTCTGTTATTTAAAAAAGGTTAAATACTAAAATTAAAGTTTGTTCTCAATTTAAAATTGTATTCTACTCAATATGATACGGGTTTGACACTACACTCATGTCTTTTGTAATTAAATACTTAAGAAAATCCACAAAACTATTTTACTTAGAGGTTGCAACTAAAAGATGTATAGCCAAAGGCGAACATTCATAGAATCATCACATTTGAGAGAACAAGTACTAAATTTTTAGTCGAAGAAACGCAACATAGAAATTCAATATGTAAAAAGATTTACAGTACTATTAGATGAAATGTGTTATGATTGTGGCAAGTTTCAAAAAGTTCACATCTCATGCTCGTATGTACTTGCTTCATGCTTACACATACCACAACTTTGACATCTACATATCTCTAGTGTATACCTTACAACCAGTTTCTAAGATATACGAAAGTCAGTTTGGAGAACTCAGACACAAAGACTATTGGCCAAGTCGACCTAAGTTTAGTAGGATAAGAACAAAGATGGACATTAGAGAACAATAAAGTTGAGCAAAAAATTGTTCTTATTGTCATATTATGGGTCATACAAGGAAAATATGTCAAATTTAATTTTCGCTATTGATTTATGTTGTTGTTATTATTTTAAAAAAAAATTAATGTCATTTTTAATTTTATGAATGTCATTGTAACTTTTAAATTTTTAGTATTTGTAATTTATATTAAATATATAATTATATATATAATATATCTACATAAAATATTTAATTATGTTTATTAATATTAATAACATATTTTTTAAATAAATAATTATGTATAAATTTTAATAAAGATTAATATCTCAAAATAAATAAATAAACTGGTTATTATTTAATACTTTTATTAATTTTATAAATATATAAAATTAAATAAATTTTTATTATAATTTTTATTTTATACAAATTTAAAATTAAATAAATTATTATTGTGATTTTTATTTTTTTTAAAAATATAATATTAAATAACTAAAAATATAATTTCAGAATATAATATTAATATCATTTTCAAAAAGTCAAAATTATATTAAATAATATAATAAGAAAAACAAAAATATTATTTATTATCTTAAATATGTAAAATAAATTTTAATAGATATGTAAAATAAATATTATTTTTATTTTTATTTATTTTCAAATAATATAAAAATATAAACATAATTCAAATAATAAAACTTATTTTATTATATATAATTAACAAAATATTTATAAATATTTATTAGAATAACATATTATAAATATTTATTTTAACAAAGTATAAATATATAAATATAATTTAAATAATAATATTTATCTTATTATATAAAAATATAAAATAAAATTTAAAAATAAAAAAAAAGTCAAGTCAGAACTCGGATATCTAGAAATCGAAATTTAGGTAACAAAAATTTCCTACAGCAATTAAGTCTATTTGAATAAATAAATAGATGATGAGTCTATTTCTGTACTTTTTTATTTTTTAATAAATTTTCTGTAAAAATTTTAGATGTATGGTTATCTTTTTTTAATTTTAATTCTTTGTTGTATAGTGCCACACAAATTATAAAGTCTTATGCAATTGAATGAATTAGCATTTTTTTAAAATAAAAATTTTCTTTGCTTTCGTTCTTTGACTTGAATAAAGAAGACTGCATAAAATTTAGAGGTATTTAAGATGTGTTCCGTTTTACTAACTTAATTTGATTTTAAATTAATTTTGATATGTTCGAGTTTTAGATATTAAATTTCATTTTTTTCAAAGACATGTTGGAGTTATATTTTGACCAGTTTTAACTTGATTTAATACTTCAATATCTAAAAATTTTAATTTTTTATAATTATATTTAATGATATGACTTAATTAAAAAATATTTTCAATAATATATATGAAATTTATATTAATATTAATTATTTTAAAATATAGTATAACATATACTTTATTTTATTTTTTTAATTCTATTATTGAGCTATGCATAATCTTAAGATTAATATATTATGTTAATAACTTGAATTGACCCATCTTATTTCATATATTATCAAATTTTAAACAAATTGAGTTCAATTCCAAATAAATGACTACATCAAAATTCTAACTAAAATAAAAATAAACTCATTTCAACCTGTCTTATATTCAGAGTATAACTTTATAATGATATTAGTATAGCTTAAGTAAGTTGTTGCCTCTCTAAACATCACGATTTTATTTTAATTTTTTTTAAAATTATATTTTATGCTTAGAATTTTTAATATTTTTTGTTTTCTTTTTTAACTTATTCGTTAAGTATTCACCTGTCCTTTAATTAAGAATATGAACTAAATAAAAAAAAAATTATTGGTTGGATGATTGATTGTTAATAGTTATAAAAATAAATAGAAAAAAATAGTGGCGAACAGACCATGCCATCCTGCACTAAAGATGACATCTAAACCGACAAAATGGTAATATAAAACATGGTTTGGTAGAGAAACTAAGTTCACTCCAAAATCAAGGGACTTTTTAATTTCTCGTTGACCAATCGTGTCACAGACTCACAGTCACGAAAGACAAAATATAGCCAAAAAAAACAAACTTTGTTTGCGTTGTATTTTACAGGGAAACTAAAATATACCCTGTCGAAAGGTTTGTTTAATTTAAAATTAAGTAAATATTTTTTGTTCCCTCAAGATAAGATTTAAACTTAAAATAAGACATGAGACCTTGTTTAGAAGTGAGATCTAAGCTTATACGAGAAACATGAGATATGAAGTCATAGTTCGAAGTGAAGATTGGAAGTAAAGTCATATTAATATGCAGCAACATCTTTACAAGTAGAACTAATTTTATAGAAAAGCAAGAACCACGAAAAACCAAACATTTAATACCTAAAATGTTTTGCAATTTTAAAGGAATGTAAAAATAAATATTTATTTAATAAAAAATAAAGATATTTTCCAAATATAATTTTTTAAGAATATAAATTTGTTGATAAAATTTTATTAAAATTTGTATTCTCGCTTTCATACATAAAAATAAAACTTTTTATTAATATTATTGTCAGTATTATCACTCTTACTACAATATCAATACCGTTAACATGATATAACTTATTTACTTAATATTGTTTGTTTTAATTAAAAATAAGACATATTTTTAAAAATGCTTTATTTGAATAAAATATGAAAAAAAAACTTTATGAGAACAAATATTTTTTAAAGTTAAATGATAATCAAATACATTTTAAAGGATTTTCTAAGAATGAGATTATCATTTTTGGAAACTTTGTTGAGTTAAAAATAAATTAAGTTAATTTTTTTACAAAAATCATTTAGTTTTCAAAAAATTTAAACTTCTGCTTTTCTTAAAAAAACTTAACAAACTAGCTCATTTCAACAAGAATAATATCAATATTATTATTATTATTATTATTATTAGCTGCTAAGTAAGGTTATTATAACGACGATGATATGTCTAATTATTACAAATCATAATAAAAAAATGTGTATTTTGTTTACTATACACATTACTCTAATTATGACATTTAATACGTAATTAATATAAAAAGTAAATAATCCCATTCATCTAACCAGGGCATCTCCCTCTGAGCCAGTTAGAAACAAATGAAGTGAATGTTGAATCAAATAAAGTAAAAACAATAATTTCCTTAAAAAGAAGATGCACCTTGTTGGGTCATTGTGCCTGTCTCATGGTTACAGATGTCTTAGCCAGAATCTCTGTTCTCCGCGTCCTGCTTTCAGTTTACCTTCCTTCGAAGTTTCCACTTCAAACCACCACCGATCTCAACTTCCCCACACTCCCTAACCTCCGATGACAAACGTTCTCAACCCAACTCAACACGACGTTACCATACCCAACTCTCTCAATTCATTCCTCGGACTTTGATCTTCTTTTTTCTGCATCTGGGTCTCTTTCTCTCTCTCCAAAATTGAATCTTTCTCGTCTGGGTCATTGTTGAATTTGCCATTTCAACGTGCTGAACGTGATGGCTTGGTTGCGTCACAATGAGTGCTTTGAATAGGAGCATTTCGTTCAACAGAACTGCATCCTTCAATCGAAGGACTCTGGTGGGTATTCCAAGTCCCAAAGTGAATCATCATAACCGTTTCGGATGTGTCTTTCTGAAGCTTCAGGTTATTGTGATCATTGGGTTTGTGATTTCATTCTTTGTAGCCGTTGGTGGTGGCTACAGGTTTGTGCTTCCAAGCCTTAGCCACGCGTTTTTCCATAGCCAAGCTCTCTTCTCTGATCGTAGCAATGGATCAGTGGGAAAATGTGATGTCTTTGATGGAAGCTGGGTACAGGTTCAAGGTTACCCTTTATATGATGCAAAAGAGTGTCCGTTTGTGGAACAAGGATTTGATTGTCTAGGGAATGGGAGGAGTGACAGGGATTATCTTAGTTGGAGGTGGAAGCCAAAGAGTTGTGAAATTCCAAGGTTTGATGTGCGTGGTGTTTTGGAAATGTTAAGAAGCAAAAGGGTTGTCTTTGTTGGTGATTCAATGAGTAGGACACAGTGGGAGTCTTTGATCTGTATGCTGATGGCTGGGGTTGATGATAAGAGAAGTGTTTATGAAGTGAACCAGAATAAGATAACAAAGCGGATTAGGTTTTTAGGGGTTCGGTTCAGTGCCTTCAATTTCACTATTGAGTTTTTCCGCTCGGTTTTCCTGGTGCAGCACGGTAGGATGCCTAAACATGCTCCAAAAAGGGTCAAATCAACACTTTTATTGGACAAGTTGGATGATATAAGTGACCATTGGGTTGATTCAGATATTCTGATATTCAACACTGGGCATTGGTGGGTGCCATCTAAGCTTTTTGATATGTAAGTTTCCCTTCTTTTCATATTTTAATTTTAAGCCATTGCCTTTTAGTGTAGTTATGTGTGAGCAGATTTGCTACAGTTGATTCCAATGCCATTCTTATTCATGTTCTTCACTTTTCCTCTTACGAATCTGTTCATCAGAAGGTTTTACTTTAGGACAAAATTTAGATCAAGCTCCTTATATCCTTGTTATTTAAGTCCTCAATCAAATGATGACATGCGGATGTTGCCTCCATCATTAAATAGTCTATGTAAATATAACTTGCGAAAAATAAAAACAAAAAATCACGTGTTATCATTTGATTGGAGAACTTTATAGCAACAATAGAAATAACTTGCCTATCTAAGTTTTTAACTTTATCTTTGGGGGGGGGGGGGGAGACAGTTAACCAAATAGCTCACAATAATTATCGTTCTCTTATTAGGTTCATCAGCATGATTTTGCAGTTAATGAATGTCATTGTATGAGAGGTAATAAAAGCCACTGTTTTAGAGTTTATACAATTGGAGGTACATGAACTACCAAAAGGATTCCTTTTCATTTTAAATAGAATATATATCCACTCTCCAGTGATTGTTATTAAGATTCTTGCCTTGCCAATGCTTGAGAATTGAAATGATTGGTACTTGAATTTTGGTCTTCTTATTGTTGCTCACTTGGATTTTATCTTTTTAGTGAGGCATTACAGGATAGGGAGGGTATATTGATGTATTGTTTTTCATTCTGTTTCTAACTTAAGAAATAACCAGCACTATTTTGAGCAAGTTTAATCAACTTAACAAATCTTCCAAGTGTGTTCAACATTGTCTATGCCCTTTCAACCTACTTTAAAGTTTCACATGTTTTACTACTTTGCAAAGCCGACTGAACCTTTCAATTCACCAGAAGAATCGAAAACAATCTTGCTTAATGGGATATTGTTTCTACTATCCTATTATTATTACCATCTTAATATTAGAGTTGGATTTTTTGACAAGAACATATCATTCTCTGAAGAAAGAGTGGGATGGAGAGAAGAGTTCAATTACAGAACCTGACAGTGGGAAACAAGGGCAGTTTCAGGTTGGACTAGGCATGTACTACATTATGTCTATATTCTTTAATAAAAAATAATATTGATATGCATATGTCACATCTTGACATCTATTTGAAATTCTTGTAGTCAATATAATTCATCATAGTTGCTCCTGCATTCTCCTTATATGCAATTTTTACATATTCAAACTACCTTCAAGTGTTTGGACAACTATTTTATAGTTAAAGTCATGCTCAATTGGGAAACACTGCAACTATCTTTCCTGAGAATAAAGGAATTTGCTTTCCCATGCCTCGTCTCACTTGAATATTCTCAACAATCAGCATAAGTCTCTGTCAACTATCCTGTTTGATAGGAATTGCATCCAGTTTCTGTTTTTAAGTATAATGTTCCATAGAGTGAATATATCTTATCAGCAGCAAAGGCTTTGTATCAGAAACGTGCTTATTATCTGAACTTGGCTTCAGTGAAATGAATTAATGGGGATGAGGTAGAGGAAGAGGTGGAGTCTGCTTTTCATCCTGAAAGTATCAGTGGTCAGACTTGTTGAAATTAACTTCAATTTGTTATCTTCTCTCTCAATTACAAACAGAAAGAAAGCTATGTTGTGAACATAATATTCATTACTTGTTGATTCAATTGCCTTTTAAAATTTCTATTTGTTACCCATTATCTTATTTTAGTACTTTGATTTTTATTATTTTGGTGTTCCTGTGTAAATTTGTCCTTTCCTTTTATTCAACAGGGGTTGCTATTTCCAGGTTGGAAGTTCTCTGAAACTTGGGATGCCAATTCCTGCTGCCTTCAAAATAGCACTTGAAACTTGGGCATCATGGGTTGAGAAAGAGATTAATAGAAATAAAACACGCATTTTCTTTAGGACCTTTGAGCCGTCTCACTGGAGGTAGTCCTACTTTATTGGTAAAAGATCAAGATTCTCGATTTCAGCATGTTTAGCTTACTTCTTTATATAATTGCTTGAACTATTCCTTTTCTTGGTAAACCTTTCCTAAGAAGAACTATGTTTAATTTTCCTATTGTTCACTTTCTTTCCTCTTCAAAATATCCTTGCATGTAACAAACTTTGCTCAGTTTAAGGAACTCTTATTCCTGCATGGAATTTGTAACCTTCATAATCTTGCATGCTGGCTTTGCCGTGTGGATAGTCCAATTTTTTCTAGTTAAAATTTGCTCACTTCAACAAATATTGATCCGGCCTTCATGTTTGCTCCAGTGACCAGACCCGTAGGACCTGCAACGTGACCCAGTACCCAACATTAGAAATTAATGAAAGGGATCAAACCTTGTTTTCGGACACAGTTTTGGAAGTTGTAAAGAATGTTACTGTTCCTATAAATGTTCTCCATGTTACTTCTATGTCAGCATTCCGGAGTGATGCACATGTTGGTAACTGGAGTGACAATCCATCTATTCAGGATTGTAGTCACTGGTGTCTACCTGGAGTACCTGATATGTGGAATGAAATTATCCTGTCCCAACTCTTTACTGAATATGAAGTCCCTTTTCAGCAAATGGAATCATTCAGTAAGTTCAGTTACTTTCTAATACTCTCTCTCACTTTTTCCTGGGAGCATATGACATGATGTAAGGGTATTCATGATTAGTTAAACTGAACAAGCACCCCTTAACATTTTTATACTCTTTTCTTAACTCAGATGAATTTTAGTTATTACTTTTATTTTAGGTTGGACACTTTACATGTTTCCACTTTCCACTGTACTGTAACTTATTATGTTTTTAGTCATAAGCTCAAGTAGAACCATTAGCCCTTATTCCACACCAGAGAAAGAGATTTTCTCTTACCTTTAATGCTTCATTATTTTTAGAAAATAATTACATTTCACATTTTATTTCTGGGTGCAGATTAGAGACTAACATTCTTAGTAGTTGCGATGCTGCCTCAAAAAATTCAGATGCCTTCTAAGAAGTATGGATCATGTTGCAGTCCTGTTCTAACACCATACATCTGGATCCATCTCATTCTGCAATTTTGATCCCTGCCATCTACCACAGTTTTCTGCAATAGTCAAAATTGCACCAGAATTTTGTAAAAAGTAAGCCCCAAATACATATTAAGAATTTACCAACTTTGTCAAGAAAAGATGAGACAGAAAGTAATTTTTTTAATTTGCCAATTCTTTGTATCTCAGAAAAGGTATTGTCTGGGATGTAACAAAATTTGCATGTCATGATTTTTGGTTTTGGTCATGACAATATTGTTGTTTTCCATAGCAAAAGAAAAAGAGAAGGAAAGTACGAATCAATCAGTTTCAATTTTCAGATTGCCGTGTCTTAATTATGTCATATTACTCTTCATTTGAAAGAAATTGTAGCTAAATTTTTGCTTCACTTGGTTAAATTACATTGCCCTGTCTCCAATGATATGCTGGTTGTAAATATAATGAGATATGACTGAAGGGAGAACATTCATATTTTAAGAATCTTTGTTCAACCAAAACGATTATTTGAGTGCTGTTATACGATTAATGTATATTCAACTTTTTTTGTATTATTTCCAAGTACTATTCAACTTGCTATTATGTATGGCAATGTAATTTGTGTTTTAGCCAATTTCTATTTTCTATTTTATATGGACGGAACTTTGTTTGATTCCACAATAAAAGAGTTAAGTGTGATTTTTAAAATGTAAAGTCTAACATGATATACATTATGCACGGCTGATTCGATCAACAATTTTGATAAAATAATCCTTTTTAAATATAAAGAATTGTAAAGAATCAAAACTCGTTAATAATGTCATGCTCTAAATATTTGAACAATGTATAAATAAATAATTACACGTTGAACTTTATTGGTACGCTTGTAACCAAGAGTTGTGTTGAAGTTTCTAATTGTAATTAATAATAGAATAAGATGATAAAAAAAATAATGACGTGACAAGATATTGGTGAATGATAACATCAATAGTACATACTAACTAAAATATTATATAACAATGTAAAATTGTGTATTCAATAAATATTAATATGCTTGTATGTGCGTATTCCTAAAACAACGTGATATTTATCTTATTATTTAACCATATATTACTTGACAAAAAAAAAATACATTACTACTTTATTAAAAATATCTGAGTTATTCTCCGGGGCAATGAGAACTTAAAATGACAAGGGATGGTCTTTTATATATTAATGATCTATGTCTTTATAGGACACAAGGGAGACCGAGAAGCACTTCCTCACTTTGGAAAATCAATGCTTAAGGAACTCCAAAGTAGAAAGTAATTTTCATGAAGATGGACTCTCTGTTTGTGTGGCTTCCATAAATTATTTTTCCTTCCAACATCTTGAAACATTAATAATAATGGGTTGTGCAAATTGGAACTAGTCTTTCCTGCTTCTGTTTCAAGAATGCAAAGATTTAAAGCAAACAATTGAAAATGATGTGGAGAATCAGAGTTTGTCTTCAAAGCCAGGCTTCCCAAAGCTGTTAGCACTAGTAGTAAGACATTGCCACAAGTTGAAACATTTCATTGCATCTAATGATCTTCCTAACCTTGAGATGCTAACCATAAACGGAGCCTGAGTTAGAAGAACTAATTGGATGTGAACGAGGACAAGGTGATGGTAAGATACCAAAGGTGAAATTTAAGCTTCCAAAATTGAAATTTGTGATATTTATGCATTTGCCAAGGCTTTGTTTAGGGGATGAAACATTACAAACAGTACCACATCGCACTGTCCATTTTTTGTCCAAGAATCTCCTTGTCTTCAACTGTTGAACTTGACAATTTACGGTTTAGACTTTTTTGCGAAGGTGAACCCTACACTCGTTACATATATGGTTACATATGGTACAATTAATATATCATCTCCCCGTACCATTGAGTCTACACTTGATTCCTTATGATCCATGATTTACAAAATGTTGACAAAAAATTACAAAATTGGAGCTATTTTTCGGTTTTTCTATTTTGATTTATGTATATATATCGATATAATTGTTAAAATTTGCAAGTTCACAACTCTGATCATGTAAGTTATTTATAGAATGAAATCATGTTTGAAACCGGTAACGTGGATGATTATACATCTGCAACTACTCTAGTTTGAGGAGCAAACAATTTGTGTGTCCTCTTTATGCAAAAATAAAATCTTTAAAAATAATTTACTTCATTTAAATTGTAACCATACTTTGATAAAACTACTCATTAGAATTTTCTCAAACAAACAAATTAAATTATTCTAAACTTTTAAGTAAGCATATTCACATAAATGGTGATTATCTTTTCTTTTTATGTTGACATATGCTTCCTTACCAAAAATGTGAATAATTTAATTCAGAAGAATGAAGTAATTAAGATTGTGATCACTATGTCACCATATGAATGGTAAGCTATTTTTGCTACTATGAAACTGCGAATTGTTTTATATCTTTAATTGTGAAAGTTATAATGTTCCATATTTGAAGGTTGATGTTGCATTTTTTATTTTGTTCCTTTGAGTCTCACCGTCTAATGGAGTCCTTTTGTGTGTTATAGAATGGAAAATCAATGGGCCCGAAACTCAAAATGCTTCAGAGAAGTTACCTTCATCACAGATCAGTACTAATCAACCTGTGCAATCTAACCAAGCTAAATTCAATTATAATGACTATGGCATCAAATGAAATGACTCATCCCTTGCTTCAATAAACTTGACAAAGATTTTTCCTACATATAGGAGTTGGCTGATGGACAATCAATTGGTGAACCACTTTTGATAGACCAACAAAATCCACTCATAGAAACTGAAAGTTACATTGGCATTCCTCAGGTAAATAATGTCATACCACTAGTCACTTGATTACATGCATTCTGCTAAAAAATTAATGGGAAATGATAGTTGAAGTACATGACAAACAAACAAGGAACAAGGTATACAAGAAGGTTCTAAATCATAGATCACTATAATTTCAACTATGATATCTGTTTTGGAAACAAGGAATACATCACCGGGATAATTTCTTGCTCCCTCTCAAATGGCATGGTGTTGATATTCTTATTGTCATTTTTATCGCGGAAATGGAAAAATACTACGAAGTTAATTAATGGGTTTTGATTTTCGGCAGAGTATTAAAACAGGTAATGAAGAAGAAACCACATCAGATGACGCCATGATGGTTATTAATACTCATTTAGAATCAGCTAGCTCACAATCACAGTCAGGCCCCTTAGTTGCTTCTAAGCATAAATCACATGCTCTTGTAAGTTTCTTGTATGCAATTGTCCTTCTAAGCATGTTGTGCAACTGGTTTCTGATTTATTATATTTTTAATAGGAATGGGATCCTATGCCAAAAAGCACCTCTCAGCCTCAAATGAAACATGAAGATCTTGCAACCTCTAAAAGTGAGTTGCCCTCATCACAAGTCAATGACGCCAATCAATCTATACTAGGTAACTTTTCTGGAGCGATGCGTGTAGCGGACCAACTGCATCTGAATCATATGCGCTACTTGAACCAGAGAGAGATAGCAAAAGGGCACTACCCTTACAATCATTGGGTGAGAAATCATCATCCATTTGTTCACCAAACTTGACAGAGGTATAACTCCAGCTGTTTCTGTCGTTTTGTCCTTTTACTGAAAAACTAGCACAATGAAAGTTAACTTACTAAGAAAATATATTTTGGCATTGTATAGGGTATTGATGAAAAAGAGGCAACCATTTTGGAAAAGATCCAAAATCAGTGAAACCAGCAATAACAATTTCTCTAACTTTGCACGTAAGTTTACAAATTTCGGGAATTTAAAAGAAGTTTTAGTCATAGTCAAAATTAATTCCTTTCATGCCTGTTCAATGTTTCAAATTGAAGTTCGAGGATCATCAGTCAACCAGTGAACCGAGTTTTCTGGACCAACAACATGCACTTGGAGAAGCAACAGTAACCTTGCTTACATAATTTTTCTACCACCTTATGATATACATTACATTATAGAAGAGTGGTCTTCTTCAAAGCTATATCTTGGAAACAACTTGAAATATATTCTTACTTTTTCTGTTGTATAGAGAATTGAGGCAACAGTAAAAGAACACGTTCAAGAGGGGTCGAACTTGATGGAAAAAGGGAGAAATGGGTATTGTTTCTATTGATAGCATTGTGACTCAGAGAAACAAAGAACCAGAGAAGGAATTTACTGGAAGAGCTTCCATTACAAAGAAGCCAGCTATAGCAGCTTCGCCCACTGATTCAAATATGATTAAAGGGTCATCTACAAGTCCCTTGGATGTTCCTCTACCTAAAACACACTCAAATGTAAGTATACTATAACATCTTCTCTTTATAGTTGGTGGAAAAAGATGGCTGGAGAATAATGCTTTTATTCTTATCCATTGTTTCTTATAGGAATTGGTAGATAGACAATCAACGGGTGAACCATTAATGAGCCAACAAAAGCCATTTGGAGAAACATAACGCACTGGCGAAATTCCTCGGGTGTACTATGATGTAAAATCACATGACTATATATAATTTAAAAAGAAATGAATAGGTTTAGTAGTCACAAGAGTCAAAGAACATTTAAAAGAGTCAACATAATTTTCATAGTTTGCTGAAAAGATATACCCACAAATACAACCAAAGGAAAATTTAAAGCCTGCAGTGGACATATAGTCAACCATTGTGGCTTAATGCTAATGCTTTTTTTGTTATTATTTTCTTTGTGTCCTTCCCAGAGTGAAATCAGACTAAGCCAAACCAAGACATACACTTCTAAAGAAAGTGAAGGCCATACTACAAATATTCAAGCTTTTAGCAATGATGATCCATCAGTTTATTTCTACCTGAGGAGGAAGATGGTGATGGCGAAATAGCTACACCTTCAGTTTCTGTTGTCTCTGCAGAACATCCAATATCCAAAGATAACTTGGTGGTTAAGGTACTTTCTGACCTGGAAGAGTCTCTAAAAATGCTTCCGAAGGACATAGCTAGCTCTGAAGCTAATAGCCTCCGTCTTCTGGCAGCTGTTAACTTCGTGTCTCGGCTTTCCTTGGAACATGTTATTCTATCAGAGGAACTTAAAGCTATAATAGACACTTTGCACAAAGAGTTTCCTAGTATGCTATATTCCTTCAAGCAAGCCTTTGCTACCACTAAAATTTGCGTTGCTTGAGGAAAAAGAGCAATCTATCAAGGAAGAACTTGTGATGTCCAGCATATTTCGGTGATTCGGTGTCATTTTTTTTTTACTCCCTAAACAAATAAATAATATTTTAATAAGTGAATAGTAA